GAAAACAGGTTCATAGGAGCTCAGTGACTCACTCAAGGCCGTCTGACTAGTTAATTAAAGACTCAAGGTCAAACTAAGGTTTTTTTGGCCACAGACCCCAAGCTCTTCACCCTGGGGCGTACCATCTCACAATGGACAAAGATACACCTGTCTTCTGTGTGTTAAGGATAAGAGAGGACTTAGAACAGTGCAAAAGGCAGTAAATAATTCCATTTTTAAATTCCTCCCCCTCAGAGATCTCAAAATCATTTGCAGTAATTCCACCTAGATTGCAGTACACACATATATACATCTGTCTGTGATGGAAGAGATGATAGTTTACCCATGAGGGGTCTCAGCACATTCTCACTGCATCAGCGTTCATGTTTTCATGAAAACCCCAAGTTCCTAATTGCTTATTCTGATGAGAAGCGCTGGTCTCTCCTTTGAAGCTAAAGCATAAAGTGTGCCTCTCAGCCTGGGCTATTTTCTTCCCAGGCCTCAGGACAGGCCAGTGGGAACCTTCAGAGACTCCAAAACCCAAATGAATCCAGATTCACCATTTTTCTTTAATTGGTGGAAGCCGATTTGTTTTGTTCCAAGGCGCGTCAGAGCCCGCAGTGTGAGCATTGTGCCCCAAGAGTTAGCCCGTTTCATCGTCCTTCATTAGGATGCAGGGGGAAGCCCGAGCCCCGTCAACTGGGCCAGGGGAACAAAGGCAACATGGAAATTAGAGCAGGACGATGAATCCCTTGCTCTCCACTTTTTCAAAACAAGACTCTTACCATTTACGCGAGGACCCATTTTGTCGTTGTGTTCCATACAAAGAAACAGGAAACTTCAGAGGGAAGAAGGGGCCCCAGTTTCCTACACGGTGGCCCACAGAGGCTGGAGGTTGCTGACGGTGTTGGCAAGAGGCTAGCTTGGCCTCAAGGCAGAGAAGGGGGCTGTTCCCCTTGTTATGCTTCCGAGGAGGTCACCCAGGCACCAGAGGATGTTTTTCCTCCTTGGGAAGCAATCTAGGGCAGGTGAGGCCTGGGGAGCAGCCCTTGAAGACTGTCCCATCATGGGCTCTCGCACCTTCTTGACCGCTGGAACTAAGCCAAATCTCACTGATTATTTTACATTCTTTCTCTCCTAGCCCACAAAAGTCTGAAGGAGAATTTCTCCCCAGACCAGTGGAATTCCTTTGAAAATAAATTTATTTCCAACTTGACAAGGATAGATCCTAGTTTCCGAAATGCAGGCCCCAAGTCTTATTTTGAGGACAGGTATTGATAATGCATGGCTCATCTTCTAAATTGCCAAAGACTTTTAGTGACCATTGTCGCTCTCAAAATCAAAATAGGTGTACCCTTTGAACGAACAGTTCAGCATCTACGAATTTATCTTACAAAAAAATTTCTATGTGTGAACAAATAAATATTTGTAAGGATGTTTCTTGCAGTGCTCTTCATAATAGAAAAATATTTAAAAGTAATATCAAGTCCATCTTAAGGATTTGGATGAATATATAATTATATTAACACATTCGTTCAATGAATGTTCAGCAAGCAATCATTTTTTTCAAATCAGTATACTAACATGGACTGATTTCAAAAAAATATCTGCAACATGGGCATTGAAAATAAATTGAAAAATTGTGTGAATACTTAATCCACTGTTGTTTATAACAAGGTTTCTCAACCTTAGCACTGTTGATCTTTGGGTCAGATAACTGTTGTGGGGCCTGTTCTGTGCCTTGTAGGATGTTCAAAAGCATCCCTGGCCTCTACCCACTAGATGCCAGCAGCACACCACCTCACTCCTACAATTATCACAACCAACACTGTTTCCAGACATCACCAAATGCTCCCTGTGGGTAGAGATGGAGAGGAAAACCACCCCTGGTTGAGAACCACTGGTTTAAAATAATGACACATAGACCACTTAGGTCTGCACACCATAGAATAAAAGTCAGAAGAATATTTATCCATCAAGTTTCTTACAATGCTTCCACCGGGAACCAGGATTGGCCAGGAAAAAAGCAACGTTCTCTTTTTATTCTATATACCTCTGTACTGTTTAATTTTTTGACATATATTTCTGCAATTAAGTAAAAAATCTACTTCTATTCCACACCACTCATAGACATACACATACACAAGGAAAATAAAGAGAATAGCTTCTATCAGGAGACCATACATCAGAATTCTCTTTGGAAAAGAGAAACCGATGAGGTTTACCTGGGAAAGGAAGTCCTTCAAGAGGACTCGCTAATGGGACATGATGGTAACGAGTTCACCAGTCAAGCATCTGGAGTCTCACCAAGGCACACAGCAAATGCCATGTCTGAGAGATTATGAACTAAGCGGGAAATGTGAAATTATGGCCTCTGGTTTTGAATTTGATGGGGACCAGTGTCTTGCATTCTCTCCTTCAAATCAATCTGCAAAACTGAGCATCTACCTTTCCACAAAGACTTGAAGAGGGAAATCATTAAAGCAGCACCTATGAAATGGCTTCCCCTCATCAGATTTGGCACTGCAGAAATGAAATGATTCTCATTAATATTGATTTTGGTGCTTTTAAAGCTATTTTTTAAAAAGAGCCTAGTCTAATTTGGGCATTTCAGAGTTTGGGGAATCCCCGATGCTTGAGTTTCTTCCTAATTTTGAAATAATTCCCTCCAGGATTTTTTCAAGTTTGTTGGTATCCTCATGAGGAAAACAAGAAAACCAATCTTTTTCTTTTTTCTTTTTTTTCTTTTTTTTTTTTTTTTTTGCTTTTCTAACTGATAGACTACTCTGGAAAAATTGCTAAGGTTTACTCATAAATTATCATGTAAACTGCCATAGCCAGTTTTTGTGATGTGTCCCCCAGTGAGTTAGTTAAAACTCATGCCGAGTTTCCTAGAAGGAAAAACAAACCTAGATCTTATAGAAAACAGACAAACAAAAAACATGTAGTCTCCCCATATTGATACCAGTAAATGATATATCAGATATTGACTGGTAACACCTTCACCTAGCTATAACTACATGGTATGAAAAGAATTATAGCTTTTGAACAACATTTTGAAAACCAGCAAGGGAGAATTTTCCTGCCCATCTATGCTGATGTTTTAAAGCAATTTGAGACAGTTTGTGAATTAACTTATGAATCAGTTCATAGTGACTTATTTTATATTCCTTTTTCATTACGTTTCTATTTTTCTTGGTGGAATAACAATGCTGAGAAATCTGTTTTGACTCACAAACTACTCATGAATATTTTAACTATAATTTTTGGACCAATTTATTTTTCTTTCCTAATTTGACTCAGCTTCCTAAAGGCATTTTGGTTTTATCGGGTGATATTTTACTTCTTTCCAATTTTTACTTTTGCTCATCAAAGCATTGTGTAGTTCATTCATCAAGAAATTAAGCCTTCCCTTTTTTTGATTCCTCCTCTGAATCTAAAGAGTAAAGCTCAGGATTTGCCATTGTCAAGAATCTAGAGTCACTCTACATACAAATTCTTAAAGCCAAAAGAATGCAGCCTTTCTCCAGTCTGCCTTGCACATAACATGGCAGGCTCAAATGAGGCAAGAACCACAAAGCAGAATATCATTTCCTATGCATCTAGCACAGCCATGCTCAAGTCAGCTGTGCCAAGTCAGAGCAAGGATGCTTTTAGTAGAAATCAGTGGTACACACAGGGACCCACTATGGAAACCGTGGTTTCCATTTGCATTGTTTGCAAGAAAACATTAGTGAAAATTAATTCAAGACATGTACAAACTTTAGAGAACACTGCCAGACCAGGCTGGTAGATGACCAACAGAGTACTTGTGCACACTAGTTAGAAGTGACCACAGTAGACACTGTTGGCGCTGTGCCCTCAGGTCTATTTTCAGTTTCTGTGGGCCCTTTCCCCGACCCCATCCTATGGTATTTTGCTTCCAATGGCCCGTACCTGTGACTCTTTCAGCGAACCGCTGAGGGGCTACTGGAACCACTTTGCCTATATGCATAGAAAGCCATGTGTGCCCAGGGTTCACGTCCTCCAGTCCCCCAGAGCAGGCTATAGCCAATGACTGATTGCTATGGGTATACAAAAGCCCAGCTCCCTTGCCTTAATGCTAGGACATTACTCTCAGGAGTAATGCACATTCCAGATCTCATGACAGGTTAACACTGAGGTTGCTATTTTGCCTGAAATAGCACCCCTACTTGGCCTCTTTCCCTTCCCAAGCCAGCTTCCCACTCCCCTATCAGCTTCTCTAGGGAGCCTGTCCTTAACACTTCACTTGTGTACACATTCTCACTTCACAATCTGCTTTGGGAAAACCTACCTAGGACACTATCTGTCCTCCTCTGCTCTCTCCCAAATTCTTGTTCTTATGCATATCTCATTCCATGCTGTGGCTTTCATCTGTGATACCTGTTTTTGATCTGGTAACCAAGACCTTATATATGACAGGTGTTAAAACATGAACATATAGTTTGTCATCCAATTCAAGACACTTTGCCCATGAAAGAAGATGTTATTGATAATTATGCTCAGCAAAATGTATAGAATGAAACTATCCCTGAAAAACTGGAGCTCATGGTCACCCTACATATCTACCACCCTCATTGCAGGGCTTTAAGTTGTGCAATAACTCACACTGGGGCCTGTGAATGGTGCCTGGAGTATAAATCTAAAATACAGATACTAGAATGAACAGGGATACCAACTGAGCCACAGGAAAGTTTGTTGACGTTGTCTCCATGTTTTTGAGCTCTGAATATTACTGGAAGCCATTGTATCTTTCTAAGAGGTTTTTGCAGCAAGTGAGGGTTGGAAATGCCAAATGGAAAAACCTAAGAAGTTGCAGACAACCTGACTCAGAAGCAGCCATGCCCTCTTGAGAACCACTCACTGGAAGTCACTACACTGTGCGCCATCTTGGACAGACCATCCTAGACATCAAGAAACAGTAGGTCCTGCAAGCTCTTAAAATCCTTCCACACCAGCTCCATCTAACACCTTAACTCCCACTTAGGAAGCATACTCACGATTTTCACAGTGCTGCCCAGTATAGCCTGCCAAGCAGGCACACTTGTAAGATCCAGCCTTGTCAAGGACACATGTGCCGTCATGGAAACAAGGGGATGAGGAGCATGCTGTAAGAGAAAAGGCATCCCTCAGTGTCACCGTGCATTGAGTCAGTGTCTTCAAGCCCAGAGTCTACCAAAGTCTTTTAATTGCTTATTAAAGTCTTCTTGCAATGATTTTTATTCCTTTTACTGAATTCATGTTATGATTATTTCAAAATGCATAAAATAGATACCCATTAAATATCAAATATTGGTGATATTATTTGATATTTTAAGGGCCCCAGAAGCATGCTCAATACTCCTATAATCTGAAGACCACAAGGCAATACAAACAAGAACATTAAACTGATTAAAGTAGAACCATGCTTGTATCTCTCATGGGGTTTCAGTGGACAGAGATATCCTTCGGTAGCTGAAGACCATCTTTTTTCATTTTTTCTTCTTCTTTTTTTAAACATGTTTGATTTATTGCTGTTGGTTGCAAAGGAGAAAAATCATCATGGGAAACAATCATCTTTTTTCAAATAAAAGCTAAGCATCCTGGGTACTGGGGCAATGCAACTGGAAGATAATCTTTATGACACTGTTGAATGTATACTCAATAATTTCCAAACCTACATTCTGTACTCATCATTCCCTTGAGATGTTGATAGTCTTTGATGTCTATTTTATAGAAGGCAAGTAGAAGGTAAGGTTATGCCTAGGTTGGGCAGCTGTTGGGCTATGGGATCAAATATGTTAGGGAAATGTTGCTGACATTCAATGCTAATTAACCAGATTTCTTTACTGGTGAACTTCTCAGTTCAATGCCCTAATATACATTGTGAGTTTCCTAACATACATTGTGAATTTCAAGCTTATTTGACCTCAAAGCCTGCATTTTACAGAGCATCTTGGGGACTATTTTTGTTAGAAAAGACTTTGAGAAACACTCATCTGTGTGTTATCCATCAATCCTACATTCATTTATCACAATGTAGAAGTACGTCCCTTGGCTCAGTTCAACAGATCTGTATTGGAGTACCAGCTCTGTAGAAGGCACGGGAGAAATACAAAGATGAACAGGATGTCCCATTTACCAGACTAAAGCTACGTGAAGAAAAACATATAACGACTATGACTTGAAGCATTATACAGTTAGTGTTTTAGGACGAAAGAAGAGACAATGAAACAAGGACAAAGTCACACCTTGTTGGAGCAAGAGAAAAGATTTAGGAGAGGAGGAAGAATGTAGTAAAGACTGTGAAGAATGGGTTTTGATGTGCTGGTTGCAAACAGGTGACTTTCCTGAGACTTTCATGTCATACCCTATGAATAAGAAAGCCTTAATGATCAGAATGCCATTACAAGTTCTTGCCCTCAAGTGAACAAACAGGGATGTTTGAAAAATGGAAAGTGGTACTGTTTGGCTGTATTGATAAAACGCAGGCCCGTATTCCCAGAGTTATCCAAGGGAGGTTGAGGAGGTCATTTCAGAGGAGGAGGACGTTCTCCTGACCCTTCCTCAGTCCCAGAGTCAGACTGGACAGCCGCTGCTACCCCTACCTGGCTTGCCAACTGTCCTAAGTGCCCACAGATGCATCTTACATGGGACCTTGCTCAGCCTAAGCCTGCAGGGTGTCACCAAGGAATGAGGATTCAGCCACAGACTGATTACACCACAGCAGCAAAGCATCAGAACTCCCAGGCCCTGCACAGCGCCATAGGGCATGGCATGGGTGGAAGCAGGCACAGAGATTGTAAAGAGCACCTGCTGAGAGCTCCTGTAGGCAGCATCCTGAAAGAGCTGCAGACTAGGGAGCAGGGTGTGCTGGCCTTGCTGAACAGACAGGACTGAAGAAACACCGATTATTCAGCCACGCACCTTCTTGCCTGAGACTTTCATGTTGCACCCTATGAATAAGGAAGCCTTAATGACTGGAATGCCATTACAATTTCTTTTCCAATTCAGTTTTTTTTTTTTAAATCAAACTTCAAGCCTGTGTTTATTTTGTAAAACCTGATGCAATTCGATCTCAGAATGACGACCATGGGGTGATTCCTTAGGATGAAGCATTTTTGTTCGGTTTGGCCAAATCCTAATCTGATCACAGCAAGAGTTACAGTCAGGTTTAGAGTTGCTCAAGTCAGTGACATTTCCTATTGTAGTGTTTTAATATCATTTTGTAGATGGCAAGTGGAGGGTAAGGGTACGCCTATGGTTGGGCAGCCGTTGAGTTCTTACTATGTACCAGACTCTGCTAAGCACTTCATTTGTTCTGTCTCTCAGAGCCTCCTGAATGGATCAGGATCTAATGTTACTCCCTTACCATTGATTAGGAAACTGAGGCCCAGCGGGGTAGAAGAACTTACCCAAGGTCGCATAGCTTGATCTGTCAGGGATCTAAAGCCAATTTGTACCAAAGCTGTTCAGCTCTAGAGCTCACACAAGAGAGGACCCCTTGTGTGAGCTCTAGAGCCGAACAGCTTGGGTACAAATCCCTGGTTCTGCCCCTATAGCTGTGTGACCTCCAATAAGTTATTGAGCCTCTCTGTGCTTTAGCCACCACATCTGTATAAGGGAGATAATTCCTAGCTCTGATTCTGGGTGAGCTTTTCTGAAATATACCTTGGTTTTTGTTTTTTCTCAGTGTGTAGGCTGTTTCTGAGAACATAGCCTGCTAGGTTTTAATAAGGCTGAGAGGGAGAAAGGAAGGGACACAGAAAGGAGATATTTGTCTGGATCAAGCCACAAAATGCCGCATTTGTCTCCTTGGCCTTTACCTGTGATCTCCTCAAAAATGGCATGGAAGCCATCGAAATTCTTGGAGCCATCGGAATGGAAGAGGACGTGGAGTGAGGATCCCGTGCTCTGGACAGGAGCCGGCCGTTCGTTGCCACAGACACGCTTGATGATCTGGCCGTCACGGTTGTCTCCATCACGAACCTCAACATAGTCATACTGGCACATGTAGTCAAACTCTAGGCTCAACATGACGAACCTGTGGGCGGACAGGGTGACGGAGGGAAAAACGTGGGCCCCGGACAGTCCTGAGACTCCTGGGCATGTTCAAGGCCAGATGAGGAACAGATGGTGCCATTGGTCTGATCTGATAGGAAAATGGTCCTCGGAGGTTGACGAATTTCTCTTAGCAGAGGAGGATGTATTTGTGCACTGTCTGCATGTATGTGCACACGCAAGTGCATGCCCAGGTGGAGCGAGGTGCCGCAATCCATGCAGAGAATCTTTACACGTGTTGGTCTCTTTTCCAGGGCCATCTTTCCTTCCAGTCTGCACAGCTAGTTCCTTCCTATCCTCAGGCCTAAGCTTAAATATTCCCTCTTCAAAGACGCTTCCCTGACCACTCTTTCCAAAGAAGATCTCTTGTTTTTCTCATAATGTAGACATAAATTTTAACTTCTTATATTTATCTCCTTGACTTTTTGTATGTGTATGTGTGGCCTGTCTTCTCCACTAGCCTGCAAGTTACTTGAAGCCAGGGAGGGACACCTGTCTCGTTCCATGGTTTTTACAGTGTCCAACACAGTGTCTGTCTTATGGTGATGCTACAGATATTGCCGAACATATGACTGAATGGACATTTTATTGCACTTTTGTAGTTGGAGAGTGAAAAAAAGGTCATATTGTTTAGCAAGGCTAAGTAAAGGAGAAAACAACAAAACAACAAACCTCTGCACACTCTTCTGTTTGACGGAAGAATCAGAAGGTAATCATCTTCCAGGTGACAATAATCCTCACCCAAAGACTAGAGAAAGTAGCACCAAGTTAGAATTTCGGGGTTAAGGAAACCTGACACATCCGTGCTTATCTAAAAGGGGTCTTGGGCTTGAAAACATTGAGATACACCAGAATGGAAACACAGAAGATGACGTCAAGCCCCTGATTCCAAGAGATGAGTAAAGCAGCAGCCACATCCAAGGGCAAGAGAAGCAGAGGCATTTTTCAAGGATTCCCAAGGGAATACCTGAGTATCAAGTTCACAAAATGTGCCTCTGTATCTTCTCCTCCACACTCTGGAGAAAAAAAGAAATAGAAAGGCTCATAACTGCTGCCTAAAATGCTGGGAGGAGGGCTATTTCTGCCACGTGTAGTAAAAACCCCACATGCCAGCATCAGGGAACACTGGAATATAGTGACAATCAGCACATTGATTTTAAGTGTTCTAAAAGGTACTGCTAACAAAGAAATCCAATAACTGAGTTTCATCAGTGTTTACTTCACAGAAGGTTGATCACAGAGCTTTTGGGGTGTAAGTCCTGGGAATCACATTTCATACAGCATGCTCTGACATCTAAGAGGACACGTGATTTCCTATCCAGATGCCACCACTCGCTCACTGTGTGTCTTGAGGAATCCATTCCTTCTCTTGGCCTTGGTATCTTTGCCTGCAGAGTAAGGAGGAGGCTACCACGTAACAGAAACCGCAGCTTTTTCTGAAGCTGAAGAGACATTGCAACTATATTTACGTTCATATATTCATTTGTCCATTTGTTCACTTACCGAACACATATTTGTGGAGGCCAGCTCTGTGCCTGACACTGTCCTAGGCGCTGTCAGCATAGCCGTGCCCTAACTACTCACTAGGCACGTGCCAGCTCTCATGGAGATTAATTCTGGGTTAGAAGATAGATAATAAGCAAGGAGACTGAAAAACAATGTAATTTTAGAGTGCTGAGTGCTGTGAATCCAATTAACCTGGTAAGAGCTAAAAAGTGACTAAGGTGCTAAGTTTCTGCCACGATGTGGTCAAAGAAGCCCCATCTGAGGATGTGATTGCTGGCAAAGGTTTGATTGATGCAGTAGAGCCAGCCATGTGAATGTCATGGGGCAGAATGGTCCAGGCAGTGGAATCTGTAAGTCCAAAGGCTCTGGGGCAATGATGAGGTTGGCATCTTCCAGGAACTGAAAGGAAGCGAAAGGATGCTACAAGGTGGTGAATGAGAGGGAGAGTGATAAGATCCAAGGCCAGCAAGGGGAGCCTGGGACAGATCCTGTGTGGTGAGGAATCTAGATTTTATTCCAAGTCTATAGGAAGACACTGAAAGGTTTCAACAAGAGGATAATATTGGATTCAGATTTTAAAGGCTCCCTGTAGCCACTCTGCAGAGAGGAGATGGCAGAGCTGGCAGGAGTGGAAGCCAGAAAGCCAGTTAGGAGGCCATGACAGAATCCCAAAGGGAGATGGTCGTGGCTTGAAGTAGAATGGTGACAGTGGTGGCAGAGAGACGTGGATGGACTATTTTTCCAGCAAGATTTTGTGGTGATCTGGTGGCAGGTGATGGAAAAGGGGCATCGGAGACACCTGCTGGGCTTTGGGCTGAACATTGTGTCTATGCTTCCCAGTGTTTCCATCGTTTTTACTATCCCTGGCCAGGTGCTCCAGACTTCACTAGAGGAAAGGAAATCCACACATTCCCATGCCTCCCTAAGGCCCTTTCCTGGGCAGCTAATATGCTTCTCAGTCCTTCACTGTTTTGCTATTTTAGAATTTCCATTTGCATCTCGGACTTCGGAGAAGCTCCTCAGAGGCCCAGAGGGGACCATTTGTCTTGGTCCCTGAGCTGCTGCAATATTAACGTGCAGCACTTAACACCTATGTTTATTATCCCTGCAGACCCAGCCTTGAGCCCACTGGGCAGAATAGAGTGGTTCATTGCTTGTTCCTTGAGCCAGGCTTCCTCTAGGAATTAATAAGACTCACTCTCAACCCCAGGTCCTCAGGGAGTGGAAACACAAGCTGTCAAGCACTGGTTTGGAAGAGGAGGATTGAGAAGGGGACCTGTTTTGTTGGATCTTTCTAATTCAGGGGACCAGGTTGCTCCTCCTGGAGGACAAACAGATATTCAAGGAGCCAGTAGCATTACCCGTGCCCATTTATCCACCCGGAAAATACTTAGTGAAAGCCTGTGCCCTAGAGGATCAGGGATTTTAAATCCATTCACTTTCACCACTGGGTTAAAATGAGAAGAGCTAAGTGGACAATGACCCTAGCCATCCTAGGGGTGAGTGAGCCACTTTCCCATTAGGGAGGAAAAGGAGAGGGGTTTTCCAGGAAAGAGAAGATACACTGGAGTCAGAAAGCAGTTCTTCTGGCATTTATTCATGCAACCAGTATTTATCATGCAACTATAGTATGCCATGAACTGCTCCAGCACTAGGGTGCAGTCATGAACAGTTCCAAAACAGGACCCTCGTGTAGCATGTATCAACAGTTACAATAAAACAGGGTGTATACTTTGGACTATAGCATAAACTAAACACTTGAGAGGGCCCTGAAGCTCCATAAAAAGAAATGACTCTTCTTCCACACAGGTGAGAGTTAGTTTATTTGTTGTGGAATGTTTGCTTTTTTCTGAGAGCCCCAATTAAAGGAGCTGTGACAAGCATCACCTCCAATCTAAAGTATAATTCTTTGAAAGTTGGGCCTGTGCCTTTTACTTCTTTACATCCCTCCATAGGAACCAGCCCAGTCCTGAGTGAAGACAAAACACTGTTTAAGAGGTGTGCATGGGTAGATTGCTCTCAGTATTTTGCTTTGTTGGTGTTATTCCTGGGTCAAAACCCTCTGAGCCCCACAGTTCTAAGGCGATGATGACAAGCATTTAGGTGGCTGTAATTCCAGCCTGGTCTTGGCTCAGAGACTCACAGAGTGGTAAAGAGAAAGCCTCCAATATATAAAGGTTCCAGAGGATCCCACTGACCGAGGGCTTCCCATCCCATTGCCATGTCCTTATAACCTCAGACTCCCGAATTCTGGTCTCAGCTCCTTACCTTAGTTGGATGATAAACCCAGGTTTAGCATGAATGGTCCATTCACAGTGAGCATTTAGGGGATAGCTTTCCAACAAAATCTGACCCTTTGGGGCTCGCAGAACCTGGCCGCATCCTAAGAAGAGAAGAAAAGATTGGGACATAAAAATGGAAGTCAATAGGAAAGAGACTGGAGGTCTCAATGAGACTTTCAGTACATGCCACACCCCTGAGAACAGGATGAATAAGGAAAAGGAAGAAGGACATTAATATTTCTCAAGCAGCTGGCAACGTGCTAGGTAATTTACATAGATTAATTCATTTAATCCACCCAACAGCTTGGGAAGGGAAGTGGTGTCCTCACAATTTTCCAGCTGGGAAAACAGATAGATAATCAGAGATACAGGTAGATAATAAATAGATAGATAAAATAGATAGATAATCAGAGAGTGAATAAATAACTTGTCTAGCCACTAAGTGACAAAGCAAAGACTCAAACCTAACTGTGTTTGAATAGAAAGTTCAAGCCACCCTATCATCCTTCCTCTCCAGGCCTGACAAATGCCAGCCTGCTACCCCTACCTTAAAAGGCTCAAAAAGTCCAGGCGTGGTGGCTCAAGCCTGTAATCCCAGCACTTTGGGAGGCCGAGGCGGGTGGATCATGAGGTCAAGAGATCGAGACCATCCCGGTCAACATGGTGAAACCCCATCTCTACTAAAAATACAAAAAATTAGCTGGGCATGGTGGCGCGTGCCTGTAATCCCAGCTACTCAGGAGGCTGAGGCAGGAGAATTGCCTGAACCCAGGAGGCGGAGGTTGCAGTGAGCCGAGATTGCGCCATTGCACTCCAGCCTGGGTAACAAGAGTGAAACTCCGTCTCAAAAAAAAAAAAAAAAAAAAAAAGCCTCAGAAAGTAGACCCTCCCCATAGCGCTACTTTCTTCCCTTTACCATCCAGGCAGGAAATCTATGCGTTAATTTATTCTATGAGCAGTCATGTAATAAATACCTCTCTAATGCAGTGACAGTGGAAAGGAGAGATTATCTCCAAACAGTTGGACTGAATTGATAATTTTCTCCGTTTTTTTCTTGCTCCCAACCCCTTTTGTTCAAATAAACTCTTTATCAAGATCATCAATACAACTAAATGTACCAAAAAGGGGCTCCTGGTTAAAGCAGAAGCAGGGGCCCAAAACCCTCTACCCAACCCTTACCTAGTCTGTTGAGTTACCTCCAGGGAATCCTTAAGATTTGAAAAACACTGAACTAAATAGTCTTTAAATTATATAATGTTTTCTAGTGTTAAGATAAGCACGGTATAGAAGATGCACTGTATTTTTGTACCCAAAATTTTGGGGAAAATGTCTTGAAGTGGTTTTATGGAAAAATTATTTGGGTCATGAAATAAATGATATTCTCTACATGGGAGTGGCATACTATGATCCTTGGGTCAAATAGAGCCCACTGCCTGCTTTTGTAAATAAAGTTTTATTGGAACACAGTGATACCCATCCATTTATGTATTGCCTATGGCTGTTTTCAGACTATCATGGCAGAGTTAAGTTAATTGTAGCAAAAGACAGCCCCATAAAAATGAAAATACTTACTATCTTGCTATCCACAGAAAAAGTTTACCTTCCCTATTTCTATACAGAAATCCAGATTGCCATTTTAAACTGGTTACATAGTTTTATCCAATAACTCCCCAAAAGTATAAAAATTCATAATTAAAAATGAAAATATTATCAGTGGATACTGCACTATGGCAAGATGACAGTAGTAGTATTTCTAGTGTTAGGAAAAGAGCCCAAACTCCACTTTTGACACAGCTATGAGGTTTGAGGCTTGTGACTTTTGTGAAAACTACTGCTAGGTCATACAATCGATCTCTTCACTAAGATCTTAATTGCTGCTGTCCTGTGCCAATGATGGGAAGCATCGTCCACTATTTTCCACTTGGGTCTCCTGTCTAGACCCAGCCTCCATCATCTCTCTCTGTAGTCTCATTCCTCCTTGATCTCCTGGTGATATGGTTTGGCTGTGTCCCCACCCAAGTCTCATCTTGAATTGTGGTTCCCCTAATTCCCACATGTCATAGGAGGGACCTAGTGGGAGGTAACTGACTCATGGGAACGGTTACCCTCATGCTGTTCTCGTGATAGTGAGTGAGTTTTCACGAGATCTGATGGTTTCAGAAGAGGTTTCCCACCTTTTCTTGGTACTTCTCTCTCCTCCTACCATGTGAAGAAGGACGTGTTTGCTTCCCCTTCTGCCGTGATTGTGAGTTCTCCCTGAGACCCCTCCAGCCACCTGAAACTGTGAGTCAATTAAACCTCTTTGCTTTATAAATTACCCAGCCTCAGATATTTCTGCATAGCAGAATGAAAACAAACTAATATACCCGCCATTCACCCTTGTCCCCCAACATTCTATCGTCCATTCAGCATCCAAAGCCACCTTCTAAATAAATGAATCATATCACATTATCCTCTTGATTCAAGCCCTCCAACAGTTCTCCACTGTGCAAACACCTTCCTAGGACATTTGCTGCCTTGCTGGCTGCCTACATCCACTCTGCTCCCAGTCTCACATGCTGCTCATCTGCTTGTCCACACTGCCCCAGATGCAGCCTGCTTTCTGTGCCCAACTCCAGCCCTTGTACTTGCTGTTTCCTAAACCCAGAAGGCTCATCTTCTTCCATATCTCTTTCCTGTAAAAATTAAGCTTATATGATGGCACCACTGCACTCCAGCTTGGGTGACAGACCAAGACTTCAGTTCAAAAAATATAATAATGGAAATAACAAGCTCAATTGCCACTTCTTCAAAGAGGCCTTCCCTGCCATCCAGCTAAAATGGGCCCTTCAAATTCTATGGTCAATATTTTTACTCTGTTTTGTTTTCTTCATAATACACATGCCTATTTGAAATTATTTCACTTACTTGCTTCCTCCCTTTGATAGAGCTAGGATCTTTTCTAGCTTGTACACCTAGAATAGAAGCTGGCATATAACAGGTGCTCAATGCATATTTGTTGAATAAATGGATTATGATATGATTATCGCCCAGGCACTAAAGCTTTGCACTTTCTCATTTAATCTTCATAAGAAACCAAAGAGAACAACATTCATCTCTTCATTTTCTAGAAGCGAAACACTAAAGATGGAGAGGTTAAATGATTTCCCTAAACCCAGATGCCAGGAAGTTAGAAGTCTGTAAATCATTGTCCTAACGGTAAAGCAGCGGTTAAGAATAGAGACTGCAGAATCTGACTGCCCTTGGTTTGAAACTCAGCTTTATTTTCCCTAGCTGTGCAGCCTTGAGCAAGTTACTTCCTCTGTCAGAACCTCAGTTAACTTGAGTCAAACGTGAATAAAAGTGGCAGCTACTGCATGTGGTTCTGTGAGGCTTAAAGCACATCATGCATGGAAAACTCTTCACAGGAAAATCAGTAAATGTCAGCTGTTTATATTGAGTGGCAGAGCAGAGATTTGACCTTGGATTTGTCTAGTATCAACACTGAGTCTTTGCTGGTATGGTAAACTGTCCTAGGGGCATTCTGACCCAGTCCTCTCCCACTCCATTTTAAAATGGCAGAATTTTTCCACCCCTAAGAAAGATACATGGAATCTTTGCCTGCTCCCTTTTTGAAATGCGTGTTCCTTCTTCCTGCACACCTCACACTCCTCATCGCCCCCTCCTACCCATCTGCTGCTGGGCTACAGAAATGATCTGCGGGGGTGTGAGAGACAACAAAAGAAGCTTTCCCGTATAGCCCCCGCCCCTCAGGACTGGCAGCTTCCCAGCCTGCAAGGTGTTAAATCCCAGCTCCCTCAGCAAACCTCCTGCTGGGCACCCTAAGTTAGAACCAGAAGCAAATGCTGCCAGCCTGCTCCCAGTTTCTTCTCTCCATATGGAAGCTGGAAATAGACAGCTGTGCCTCAGGCCCCTCCCCAAATCCAAGGGAAGGCGGTGCTCATCCCCATTTGGGCTTCCTTGGCACATCCATTCGGGCATTGGCCAGCTCCAGGGTCTCTTGCAGCCTCTGGAGGGCTTAGTCCCCATCCTCACCCAGGCGTCCGATCCCTGACCATGTGACATGCTGGACCACCTGTTCCTGCAGCCTCACGGGCTGTCCTTCAGAAGTAGCCAGGATTCTAAACACATGCAACATCTCCATGAGATTCCTTTTCCCTCTGAAGGGGAGGGCAGAGTTGGCCCCAAGATGGGGAACAACTTCCAACCAACCAGATACAAAGGGGCCACTTCTTGGAAATGTATTTGGAAGAAGGAATATTAGGGAAAGAGCAAGAGGAGAAGAGAGCTGCACTTCCTCCCGCACATCACGGAACTCCTTCAATTCCCACTCCACTCTTGCCTCTACTTGGAGAGCTGGCAAGCCTGGGTGCAGGGGCAGCCTGACTACACCTCTCTGTCCAGGGCAGAACAGTGAACACAGTGGAGTGTCCCTGCCAAGGAAGTATCACTGGCCAACCTAGCAGGTGGTCCTGAGTCTGAAAGACCAGCGCAGGCAAAGAGCCTCGAATATGTGATCAGATTCCTTAATAATGTCTTGCTGTAGCAGAGAGAGAGAGAGAGAGAGAGAGAGAGAGAGAGAGAGAGAGAGTGAGAGAGTGTGAGAGAGTGTGTGTGTAAGAGAGAGAAAGAGAAAGAGTGTGTGTGTGAGTGTGTGTGTGAGTGTGAGTGTGTGTGTGAGAAAGAGAAAGAGTGTGTGTGAGTGTGTGTGAGAGTATGTGTGTGTGAGAAAGAGAAAGAGAGAGAGAGAGAGAGAATGTGTGTGTGTGTGTGTGTGTGTGTGTGTGTGTGTGTGTGTGTAGTGATATCTGTCACTGAAGCTGGACTGTGCCCTGAGCTCTCAAATCCTGGCCTCATCTCCAGCCTTGCCCCATGGCTACATGCCCAAACAGGAGAGACAGCTGTATAGACTCTGCTTCTACAGAACTGAAAGGAAATCTTTATTAATTTCTAGACCAGTAAGACAGCTGGAAAATACCCTCAACAAAAATGAACACCCTTAGCCTCAGACAAAAGTCTTCTTATCTTCAGCATGTGGGGCAGGGGAGGGGATTGCAGGGGAGACACACACACTTCTAAGAAGTGGTTGGGTTTTGTTTTT